GTGTTTCATAGGTAGATTGTTTTCTAAAATATGGTCAAAGTTATTAGATGAGCAAGCATAGGAACCATGGGCTTTAAGGCAAAGTCAATTTATAAGATATAACTAGGATATCACATTTTAACAAATTAGAATTCAAAATGTCATAAAACTTATGTAAAACATCATAGTCTAAAAGTATTGAAATCTTGATGAAAATATTTTAAAAAATTGCAGTTTACTGAGTAGGTGTTCTGGGTCCAGAACATCCAGGTGTTAAACCTAAACACAGCTTTTTACCATCATGAAGGTAGACATAGACTACTTACATAATACAGAAAATATAAAAACAAAAATTATAGCAAGCAACATGTAAGAAAGAAAACCAAAATTCCAATTCCATCTCATACTTGCTAAGTGAGCATTCCTTAAGTTTAGTGCACCATCTACTTTGTTGGACCTATATACTCTTTTCCCATGTTTACAAGGTCTCACACTTTCCTGCAATCTCTAGTTCCAAATTTTTATGCCTGGTGATTTCAATTTAAACTAATCATGTTCCTATAAAATTCCCATCATTTCTTTCTAGATAAGTCAGTAACACTAAACATTCCTCTATCCTGTTTGGTTCTAACCTGTTTATTTTCCAGTGGCAGATGAGTAAAAATGCTTCACTTATTCTCGCTTTTAATCAACATATTCTTTTCTAAGATAAGCTTATCCTTCAAAGGGCATATCGAATGTCTCTTCTTCATGAACGTTTTCAGGAATACTTCAAACTAAATTGAAACCTACTTCAGAATAGATCTTGTCACTCTTACTTACCTTTCATATGCTTATTTATATTTTATAGGCCCTATTTCTCCAACTATTAATACATGGTAAATCTCCTCAATGTCATTGTATAGTAGAGACAGTAGCAAGAGCATGATATTAGGAATAGGGGAGGGGCCTGCGCTGTGGCACAGCAGGTTGAGGCCCTGGCCTGGGGCGCCAGCCTCCCATATGGGCACCAGTTCTAGTGCCGGCTGCTCCTCTTCCGATCCAACTCTCTGCTGTGGCCTGGGATAGCAATAGAAGATGGCCCAAGTCCTTGGGCCCCTGCACCCACATGGGAGACCCAGAGGAAGCTCCTGGCTCCTGGCTTTGGATGGGTGCAGCTCTGGCCATTGCAGCCACCTGGGGAGTGAGCCACCGGATGGAAGACCTCTCTCTCTGTCTCTACATATCTTTTTAACTCCTACAAATAAATAGAATAAAATCTTAAAAAAAAAATAAAAAAGGACTAGGGGAGACCTAAATCTCAAGCATATGTTAATTTATAGCCATCTTTTTCTGAAAGCAAGAGTGGAACTCCAGTGGCCATTTCTCCTATCTGACCTTTCCCTGCCCTCTGGAGATAGTAATTCAGTAATGAGAAATTGACGCAGTCCCTGGGGTGTTCTCAGTGCTAAGCTATGAAGCTTGGAGAGACTGCAGCAGGAGCGACTGAATCCCGCTAACATAAAAGAAAAACAGATTTTTGAAAAACATTAACCATCTCAGTGTCTCTGGTAGTAGTTACCTTTGTGGACCATCTATATCCCTGCTCCTCTTGTGGCCCAGAATCCTTTCAATAAGTACTGTCTTTTCCCTATACTAGTTAGACACACATGCTGTCACTTGCATACTAAGTAACATAAATTCCAACTCCATTTTTCTACTAGCTGTTTCATTTTTATCTCTTTTATCTACAGTTTTATACATAAAAATTGAGATTATTATTCAACATCTTTATTAAAAGAATTGAGAGATAAGTAAAATGCTTGGAAGTATATGGCATACACTGATATTTAATAAATTGGTATGTCCCTGTATCCATTCCTTGTCTTTGGAATCTTCATAGTACCAGCAGAGAGATTTCAGAAGATTGATATTTGTTAGTTGAAAATCTGCTAAATATTATATTCTTAAATGTTAAAAACTTAGAGGAAGTTTCTTTAGGGGACATATTAAAAGAAATTATACACATGGAATGAGATAAAGAATTAGATAAAGGAATGAGATAAATAAGGGATATTTTAAAAGTGTATGAATAAAGACTAGTGTCTGCTAATACTAACTGATAGAATAAAAAAGGGAGAGAACAATCCAACATGGGAAGCGGGATACACAGCAGACTCATAGAATGGTAGATGTCCTACACAGCGCTCTGGCCTCAGAATCAGCCCTTAAGGCATGCGGATATGGCTGAAGAGCCCACCAGAGTATTTCAGGCATGGAAAGCCAAAACACTCTAGGGGAAAAACAAAAAAAAAAGAAGACCTAAATGAAAGATATCTGCGAGTGAGATCCCAGTGGAAAGAATGGAGCCATCAAAGAAGGAGGTACCTTTCTTTGAAGGGAGGAAAGAACTTCCACTTTGACTATGACCCTGTCAGAATAAGATCGAAGTCGGTGAACCCAAAAGGCTTCCATAGCCTTGGCAACTCATGACTAGAGCCTAGGGAGATTACTGATGCCATAAACAAGAGTGTCAAATTGTTAAGTCAACAATAGGAGTCACTGTGTACTTATTTCTCATGTGGGATCTGTCCTTAATGTGTTGTCCAATGTGAATTAATGCTATAACTAGTACTGAAACAGTATTTTTACACTTTGTGTTTCTGTGTGGGTGCAAACTGATGAAATCTTTACTTAATATATACTGAATAGATCTTATAAAGATAATTGAAAATGAATCTTGATGTGAATGGAATGGGAGAGGGAGTGGAAGATGGGTGGGGTGTCAGTGGGAGGGAAATTATGGGGGGGGGAGCCAATGTAACACATAAACTGTACTTTGAAAATTTATATTTACTAAATAAAAAAAAAGAAAAAAAAGTAAAAAATAAATAAATAAAAGTGTATTTAATTCTCAAAAAAAAAAAAGGGTATGAATGAAAGAAGGCAAAAGACAAAGATCTTATTTCCCTTTTGTCTCTGTTAAGTCAGGGGGAAACTTGATAAACTCTACCCCAAGAAACTAATATGTTTGCCAGGAGAGGACTACCAGTAGGGATTTTAGCTTTCTAGCAGGCAAAGCAGGCTATGGTTATAAAACTCCAATTTGATTGAATTTATAATATAGGATCTCTAGTTTTACTTGTATATTGGATTCTAAAGGAAAAGCAGAAACAGACAAACAAAAAAACCACCCTGAATACTGAAAGGGCAGATTTAATGAAGCTTGTATTTCTTGTAGTCAGAAGGCCCCTTAGCAAACACAGCATCCATTCAGTATAACTAACACATACCTTAAACACTTAAACTATCAGTCAGTGGTACATGACTATTTTCTTTGTAAAATCTCTAGTTCTTAAAATCTGCTGTTCATTATACAACCAATTTTTTTTGAAAAATTACTTTACATTTTCACACAGTTTAAAAAATATGTTAAGTCCAAGTTCTGCTAACCAGTTCTTGTGTTTCCCAGCTTACCATTCCAATTCCCATATTAACACTTACCAGATACAGTACATATCTCCATTCTGAAGCTGTGGAATAAGAAAGGATTCACAGAGTTGCAAGGCTAACACAGTCTTGCCTTCTTTTTCAGTGTTACAAATGATATCAATTCCACTCTTACAATCAGTTTTCAATAAATGCTGTAAAAGGAAAAGAAAGTCAGTTTACATCATTAAAAGTATCTAAAAAGCTAGTTGCAGTGTTTAATTAAATTCAGGAGAGATTACTTAGAGTTCTAGTTTTCTTTTACAAAGATAATGATGAATTAATTATATAAAAATATTTTAATAATTTTATAATTTCATTGGACAGCACCTATAATTTAAAGTGACTACTTTTAATTGCATTAAGGTCCATAACCTATGTATAAATAGGGTCCATAGTAGGAAAACATTTTTCTCTTTCATCTTAGGAAAAAAAAATCAATAAATACTTTATTTAGAAGGAAAAATCATAATGCTTTTGTCATGCCAAAATTGCAACATAAATAATGCTTACATAAATTTTGTTAATTTCATTATTTGCCAACATCAGAGTCTACATGACCTTAAAGAACACTGCCAAAAGAAAATACAGCTAGGTATTATAAACGTCAAATATTTAATATTACTGCAAAAAGAATTTAACAAATTACTTGGTTTTTTGATTGGATTAAAATGGTAGTAGGCAAAAGTACCTCCCGGAATAGCTGATCTTCTACAGGTGACATAAACAGACATGTGAAGAGTGCTTGATGGAAGTATAAGTCTTTACTGATTTCTGGGTGATTTATACAAGACTTAATAAGAGCCATTGCTTCAGGTATGCGTTCACAGGCAATTAGATATCTGGCACGCAACTCAAAAAACAGTGGATTTTCAGAACTTAAATACCTGTTCACTATAGTAAAAAGAAAACAAACTCCATTACTTGCAAGAAAAGATTCTCTTAAACTTTGTTTGAAATCTTCCTACAAAATATGGTATTACATTATTTAATTAAGTAACATTTTCCATAGTAGACTTTATTTGTGAAAACAATATTCAAGTATATGGTTGAAAAAATAAAAGAGGACCAAAATAATGCTTAAGAAATATTTTTGATTTCTTCTCAGTATACAAGTAAACAACAAAAATAAAAACAATTTTAAAAATAGGAAAACTAAATTTTGTTCTTTCAGTTAATAAATGTTAAAATAGGCTTCAAGTAATGTGATCTTTCATGTCTTTCTAATAAGATTATAGTTTATCTTGTAGCCCAATATTTTCATTACTATAAGATTAAAAAGCTGAATCTAACTCATTATATTAAAACCACACTAATTCAGATTAACCAAAATCTGTATTAGTGAAAAAGTTGAATCATAAACATATTTTATGACTTTTCAAAATAAAATCTCAAGTAGTATCAAATACAACTGCTTATGAATATACACTCAGGTATCACAAAGGGTAATTACTAATACTTTCATGCAATTTTAAAATATAAATACTGTACTACATAAGTTTATTTAGACCTAACAACAACCTTATGACAGGTATTTTGATGCTTGTTTACAGATCACAAAACTGAGACTCAGAGAGGTCAAATTACTTGCCCAAGAACAAAGAATTTGTAAGTGGCAGAGTACACCCACATTTTATGATGTTTGAATCCAAAAGTGTTTTAATTACTTACATATCTTTAATCAGTAGCTTCTAAAGTGCTTATGCATAATGTTTTATTTTAACTTAAGTATTTGCCTTCCAATTGTGTATATAATATGTAAGCCAACACTGATTTGTACAGTTAATACAAAAATGAATTTTACTTGCGCCTTTACTTTAATGATCACCAACTAGAGAAGAGTCATCTATTCTAATGAGGCTCGAGAGCAGCTTTTTCTACAGTGAGGTATACTAGTGTAGGTAGAAAAGGGGTATTATTTTAACGTGATTCTTCAGACCAACCAACAACAGATTTATTCTAGCTCCTACACAGGGAAACCTAAAAGCTCCAATGAAAGCTCAAACTCTCTTTTACCCTGTCTTCACTCCCTTTGAAGTTTTCTGTTAGCTCCTGACCCTTTGGGCCGTGTTTCTGTCTCCTAATAATTTCTTCTAGCCTGTCACCTCAGCCTTATATTTAACTTTTCATATTCTCCTCCTCAATAATGTAGCTCTTTCTCCTCAGCTCCAACTGTGTTCCTCTTTTATTTTTTAAATCTCTTTCCAAGATATACACATCAAGCATCAGTCTCTTTTGTGTCTTTTGGGTATTCCATGCCATTGTCATATATACCTTAGTCCTTTCCTCCTAGTCTTATACCATCTCCTATCCCATCTCTCCAGTTTACACTACCTTTCCTACTCTTGCCTTTTTCTTCATCTTCCCCTACATTTCAATCATAGCTCCACATTTGTATCTACAGATGGTTTGCTTGTAAGCCTGAATGAGAATCATAACTCCTTCTCCTTTCAGCTTCACCCACAACCTACTTCCATCTCCATTCTTTACCTTGGGACAAATACAAATATCCTGATCCATTCAGCAAGAGAGGTGTCCTTCTAACCAGACAAAATTTGGTCCCAGGGTTGGGAAGTCATGTCGTTTCTTTGGCTGTCTTCTTTTTTTTTTTTTTTAAACTTTTATTTAATAAATATAAATTTCCAAAGTACAGAATATGGATTACAATGGCTTCCCCCACTGTAACTTCCCTCACACCCGCAACCCTCCCCTTTCTTGCTCCCTCTCCCCTTCCATTCACATCAAGATTCATTTTCAATTCTCTTTATATACAGAAGATCAGTTTAGCGAATATTAAGTAAAGATTTCAACAGTTTGCACCCATATAGAAACACAAAGTGAAAAATACTGTTTGAGTACTAGTTATAGCATTAAATCACAATGTACAGCACATTAAGGACAGAGATCCTACATGAGGAGTTAAGTGCACAGTGACTCCTGTTGTTGACTTCACAAATTGACACTCTTGTTTATGTCATCAGTAATCACCCTAGGCTCTTGTCATGAGTTGCCAAGGCTATGGAAGCCTTTTGACTTCACCGACTCTGATCATATTTAGACAAGGCCATGGTCAAAGTGGAAGTTCTCTCCTCCCTTCAGAGAAAGGAACCTCCTTCTTTGATGACCTGTTCTTTTCACTGGGATCTCTCTCACGGAGATCTTTCATTTAGGTGTTTTTTTTTGTTTGTTTGTTTTGTTTTTTTTTCCCCTAGAGTGTTTTGGCTTTCCATGCCTGAAATACTCTGGTGGGCTCTTCAGCCATATCCGCATGCCTTAAGGCCTGATTCTGAGGCCAGAGTGCTGTTTAGGACATGTCTTTGGCTGTCTTGTAATGGCACTCCATAAGTTATCTCCACACTTTTGTATGGTTTCATATTTTTGTGCTTTTTCACTACTGCTGAGGTTACATTCTAAGTGTTGGTGATCCGAAATGGTTTGGCTCCCAGAACATTCAAATAATATGGGAAACATTTTTGAAGAATTAACTGGAAAGACCGACAGAGACTCTTCAGAAGGAAATCTTGGCCCACAAGGGACCCCCGTGGATCTAGGTTTTATAAGAAGTGATGTCAAAGAACTATGCAGGTAGTAGGTGCTTGAGACAAAACTCCCATGAATGGATGAATTTTTGAAATATTGTTCTGGAGTATTTGGAGTTGAAATTTATTCAATTAGTCACTTATTTGCTCTGTGTGGTCTTGGGGACTGGCTCTGTGGTGCAGCAGGGTAAAGCCCTGGCCTGTAGTGCTGGCATCCCATGTAGGGGCCAGTACGAGTCCTGGCTGCTTCACTTCCAATCCAGCTCCCTTCTAGTGTGCCCGGGAAGGCAGCAGAGGGTGGCCCAAATCCTTGGGCCCCTGTACCCATGTGGGAGGCCTGGAGGAGGCTCCTGGCTCTTGGCTTCAGATTGGCTCAGCTCCGGCCGTTGCGGCCATTTAGGGAGTAAACCAGCGAATGGAAGACATCCCTCTCTCTGTAACTCTTTCAAATAAATAAAAAATAAAAATATTTTTAAAAAATGTGGTCTTTCAATCAATCAATACATATATTAAGCGCTCACTCTCTACCAGGTACTAGGCTAGTAGTATCAGTAGTGGTGACAAAAAATTCAGAGTTCTAGGCCTCATGGAGTTTCCTCTGTAAAGGAGATTCCATGTAATTTCATGAAATGCAGAGTTTCCGTTTTTGATTTAATAAAAAAAGTTCCTATTTAAACATATTTTAAAAATATAAGTGAAATGGTATCAGCAAACTCCCTGTAAATAAGCAACATTTACTAAATACGTTAACATTCTAAATTCCCACTACTAGAAATAAATATACCTAGGCTTGTGTCAGAAATCACCTTGGGCCATATTAGAATAACAATTTAACATTCTTCATTTGAAAATACATTATTCCATTTTCAGTTTTATAAAATAAAGAAAATTCACTGTCACTGCTCTAGTTAGAAAACAAAGTTGTGTTTCCTCTCACAAATGTTAATTCTGATTTTCAGTCTGCTGAAGTACCTATCTCCTGAGATGCTGGCTGGGCTTTTAGAACAGCTTGCAACACTGGATCTTCCCATGGGCCACCATCTCTAATGATTCGAGTCACCAGTTCCAGATTCACATTTCCATATCTGCGGAGGTGATTCTGGCATTCCTAGGAGAGAAAAATCATTTTGGCTTTGTGAATTTAAAGGGGTTAAAAACTAAGCTTGATCATCATTTTCAATAAAATGATTGATGGCCAATGAGACAGTTATTATAAAAGAGAAAGGGTTACTACTATAATCTAAGTAGGATGTCAAAACCAAGTAAGCTTTATTGCCAAAGGTTACACATTATTTAAATAATTGGACCTAAAGATCCCATTAAGCCAGGGATGAAGTGTAACCTAAGGGAAAACGTATGAAATGCATTATTTCTAGGAAAAGAACCAGGTTGCAAAAAACTGACACTTAGTTCAGTTAAATTTACATGAGGGCTCATAATGTTCCTGTTAATAATGACAGGCCAAGAGTCTGTTCACTATGTAGACTCTGATTTAGGTAGGTAGATACAAGTCCCCTGCCCTGATCCCAAATATATAACCTAAGTTGTGATGGAAGCCTGGGAAATAGGAATTCAGTTCCGCTTTGTTTTGACTAATTAGATTTCAATTTAAGGACAAAGAAATGGCATGTTGAAGAAATAAATCCACCCTATAATAGTTTACATGAGGTTTACGATAAGGATTTACTGATAAAATGAGTAACAACTGGTAATTTGTCTATGCATTTTCTGGGTTTAAAAAAAATAGATATTTGAGGGGCTGGTACTGTGAAGTAGTGGCTTAATGCCCTGGCCTGCAGCACCAGCATCCATATGAGCACTGGTTTGAGTCCTGGCTGCTCTACTTCCCATCCAGCTCCTTGCTAATGCTCCTGGAAAAGCAGCAAAGGATGGCCCAAGTCTTTGGGTCCCTGCACCCACGTGGGAGACCCAGAAGAAGCTCCTGGCTTTGGATCGGCTCAGCTCTGGCTGTTGTGGCCATTTGTGGAGTGAACTAGCAGGTGGAAGACCTTTCTTTTTCTGCCTCTCCCTCTTTCTGTCTGTAACTATACCTCTCAAATAAATAAATAAAATCTTTAAAAAAGACATTTGAAATATTTCTTAAAAATCTGCTGTCTTAAACATAACAGGAAATTTCTAACAAGTTTATAAACAATGGTTTAATAGTTAGCAGAATTTTTACTGAACTTATAAATTGGATTTATTACTTGTAAAGTTGTAAGACTTGTTTAGCTGTGTATGCTTTTTAATTCATTATATACTTTGTTATATGTGTTATAGAAAATCCAGTTTTGAAATTTCAAATGATTAATTATGAAGGTATTTTAAAAGTGATAAATTGAGTATGATTAGTTAGCCTAGATACCTGGGTTCCACACTGGAGCAGCTTTTGATACCTAGCTCCAGCTTCTGACCCCAGTGGCTGCGTTCCTGCCACCCACGTGGGAAACCTAGATTGAGTTCTTAGCTCCTAGCTTCAGGTTTAGCCCCAGCTCTAGCCACTGCATGGAAGCTCACTGTATGTTTTTGTGTCCTCAAATTTAAATGCAAAAGCAAGCTTAACGCCTCAAGAAAAAATTAGATATTGAACTTGGAAATATTAAAATCTGAATATTAACTGCACATCAGTTAAAATACATTAACTGTCTATTTATTTCGGTAGTAAGAGCAAAGCTTTAGGATTAAAAAAAGTATTTTCAAAATTTTTACTTAACAGATGAATCATCAGGCTGTATATTCAAAGTGGCTACATGCTTCCATCACTTGAACATTGCATCTTGGACTAAAAAGTGATTTCTGAATTCTTAGTGTGATAACTGAATTCTTAGTTAACACACAAAAAGGAGGTTTTGTTTGTTTCATAAGAGAACAAAGTAGGAGAAGAAATTAAGTTTCAAATAAGAATCATTCAATCAAATAAGTTAGGTCCATTAAGTCCAAAAACAATCCAAGTAAGTATCTTCTGAAAATTATTTAAGAGTGTTCCCAAATTAAAGCAAGTAAGGAAATGAACAAAAATCCAGTTAACAATGGGCAAGTTACTTAACCTCTCTGTGCTCCATCAGTTAA